GGTATTGTTTTAACAAGTTAAATAGTTAATTGTGAGATAAAAGTTAAGTTATTCTTTTTGTGTTAGTTGTGGGTAACAATTGTGGACAAATCATAGAAATTGAAGGCGATGAAGATGACGGGATAGAGATTGAAAATGACAGGATAGAGATTGAAGATGATGAAATAGAGATTGAAGATAATACCGATGATGATGATTATATAGAAGACGATAATGATTATGACTTCATGGATTCTTTTATTAATGATGAAGAAATTGAATACATAAATTCTGGTATGTTTCTTTTTTTTTTACTTTTTTTTTAACAACCTAATTAATAATTTTATACTTTAATTAGATGATGAATATAATTCTCTATGATAAAGATTTTTATATAGTAATTAATCATGCAAAAAAAATATCAAATTTATTGAATAATTTAGTTCATCTACATAAAGTGTTCAATGATAATAATATAGTAAATTTTGTTTTGGTCTCATCAATTGATGTGATTGTGTAGTGTTTCATGCAGTTAACTCATAATACGATTATGTCGTGTTTTGTGCAGTCACCTTATTCAATAGCTCATTAGCAGAGTCCTCGGATTTTTGTTGCATCTAAAATAGCACTAGTTTTTAGCAAAATAGTTAGCAACAATTGTTATGTGCTAAGATGCTAAATTAACTATTTTTGTATTAAATACATGATTTTTGCTTTTGTTTAAACAATTAATAATCGTTACAAAAAATTAAATAATAGCATTATAAATTTATAAATTTAATAATTATACTAGTATTTGAAAAAAACGTTTTTAGAAAAATGCCACCAGTTCTCTCAATATTAGACCGACATCCTAAATACAAGGAAGATTTTTATAAGAGCAAAGGAAAAATTCACTGTATTTTTTGTAAATGTCTTATTACTCAACAAAAAAAATATAATTTAGATTCACATCTAAATTCCAATAAACATAAAAAACAAAAAAAAATTGCCGAATCTCGTAAAATTTCACAAGCTTATCAAAACTTAACCGTACTTCAAACTCAAATAAATGATAAACAAGAAATTAACATCGATCTAATTAAAGCCTTTACTAAAGCGGATATTCCTTTGGAAAAGATTAACAAGTTAAAATCATTTTTTCAAAAATATTGTATAAATGGTATTTTAAACTGTTTAAAATTAGTTTCATCTTACTTTAATAACAGCTTATTATCACACAAAGTGATAATTCGCTTTCAATATATATTTATAAATAAAAATGTTAAACTTTACTTTTACTATATATAATGTTACTGATTTATTTAATAATATTTTATTTATTAGGTGGTTCAATCACAGGTCCTACACAGCTTCAGAAACAATATCTTCCTCTTGTTTATGATATAGAGCAAGAGAAATTACGAATTTTGCATCAAGAAAAAAAAATTTGTATCACAGTAGATGAAACAACCGATGAATGTGGAAGAAATGTTGTTAATATACTTTTTAGTTTTGAAAAATCTACAAAACTTGTAAAAACTGAATTTCTAAAAAAAGTTAATTTTACTACAGTCTCACAATTAGTTGTTTCTGCTATTTCGTATTATAACATATCATTCAACAATATTATTTTATATATTAGTGACAATGCGAGTTACATGAAAAAATCATTTTTAGATATTTTATTACCACTAATTCCACATATAAGACATAACACTTGTTTCGCTCATATTTACAATTTGGTTAGAAATACCTGGCTTGAATATGAAAACTTTCAAATTTTAGATAATATTGTCACTAATATTAAATATACATTTACTTATTCATCACCTAGAAAATGACGATGGTTAAGTCATCTTTCTTCACATATGTTAGATGATAACCTTCAATTAACATTACCTCCCGTATCTATAAAGACTAGATAGTTTTCTTGGTTTCGGTTTATTATCTGGATGAAGCCATATTTGAATTATTTAATTACTTTTTATCAAGAAGAAGATAAACTTCAAGATGCCTCAAAAGCTGTTAAAAATCTTGCAAACTGGTTTTCTAATCCAGACATAGTTGATCGTATTAAATTAATTACTATGTTTATTACACATAATGGAAAAGAGTAAATATAATTTATATATATTATTATAATATGTATTAATTTATTATCATTATATCTAACATATATTTAATTAAAATTATTTTTATATTATATAGTTTAATACACGATCTAGATTTTTTTCAAACCAGAAATATACCAGTTGCACCATTTATTTTCTCACAGATTCAAAGAATACAAAAACTACTTCAAAATGGAATAACTATGCTACCATTCTCAGATGAAATGATTACTTATATAAATCAAAAACAGTTAAATATTAATTATTTTAAGGAGATTTTTGGTGAAGCATTTAATTTTGCATATATGAAATTTGGAAAGCATATTGAGCAACATAATGCGTTACCACTTTTTGAAAATATCCAATGCTTTAACCCTCAATTTATTCGTGATAATATTTTAAAACACAATTTATCAATTTATACAAATATTTTAGAATTTAATAATC